CAGATTTAACTGACTAACGTCCAACATAAGCGTTGTATGTGTATGTTTTTATTTATATTCTTTTTTCAGTGTGTTGTTATCAGAGTTAATGTTGTGAATTTAACCTTTTCTTTTGGGAGTGTGTCTAAACTTTCACGCACAACATTTTAGGATTGCCAGTCCAAAGAGGGGGAGGTTTACAGGGGGAAGGAGATGAGCAAAGTGGAAGATCAGGAAAAGCCAGGTAAGTCCTAGAAGATAAAAGATGATAGTCAGTTATTGGCAAAAGGCACTGAGCAAGTTTCAAAAATGCAGAAATTGGTACAGTGAAATGTATCTTGCTTGGGTGCTCAGCCCTAGCCTGGGTGCCATTCCAAACTTAGTCCCGCCCACAAGGTTTGAGGTCGGGAAGTTCGGTCTGGCATTGCTCCATAGTAGCGCGAGTATGATTTCCCACTCTCTGGCGATCCAATCATATTGTCAGGGCGGGCTTTATACGATGATGGACAGATGATCAACAGTAACGTAATCAACCATGTGACCAAAGCGCGCTTGGGTGACAACAACAATGGCTGCCGCTAGAGAGTTTAGGTGAGTAGATTCTGCTATTAGGTCTGTTCTAGAAGATATCGACAGCAAATTAATTTTAAAAGAGGAACAGAGAAACGCGATCAAGGCTCATCTTATTCTTGGCGTGCAACTGCACGCTTTGATTTTTGTTGACAACAACTATGCCTGGCTTAACATACGTCACGCACTCTGTTGCTGTTATTGGTTGTAGGTCTATCCAATTGAGTGCAGAGGCATTTTTTTTCCTGGTTCGTTCAAAACACTCCCCATAATAAGGTTTTCTCCTTGTTTTGTGGTTAGCCAGGGAGTCCAGGTATTGTATGTTCTTTTCATTTTCTGTGTTAGAAATTGTTTTGTTTTATAAGTAAGGGGGGGGGGGGGGGGTGTTTGTTGTTTTTGGCCTTGGAGAACCTGAGGCTCTAAGCTTCCCTGTTTTGCTGTTTTGTTTTTTTTGTGACCCCTGCAAATTGTGAATAAATTATATTTTTCTACTGACATCATCTTTTAGTTTACTGACTTTTGTGTTACACCCAGTGCCGGAATTTACCCTTTAGTGGTCTTAAGGGTGGGGGTTGTAACACACATAAACAGCGTCCACATTTGAATAAAAAGCTGTCATTTTCAGATTTTTTAAGAGGTTGAAGACTTGGTTTGAAATGTCTTTTCAACGTCTATTATGAGACTAAAGTGGGACAAAATCAGACCATCCAAACACAGCCCAATTTTTCAACAATCATTTCTGGACTGAATCAAGACTATGTTGGACCGACCAGATTTAGCCTAAAAACAAACGTCTAAATGACATCTGGTGTTCAGGAGGGATCCTTCTGCTTTTTTTACTCCAATTAGCTTTAGACATCTTCCCCAGTCTACCATGTTTGGTTCCACACACAGTAAGATATACCGTATTTTCACGACCATAAGGCGCACCGTACTAAAAGGTGCAGTCTCAGTTATGTGTCCCATTTCTGTATTTAACACACACATAAGGTGCACCGGACTATAGGGCGTGTTTTTTATATACAGGTACATGTCCTCTACTACCTTTAAATACCTCTACTGCGTATTTAAAAATACAGCGGGGGCAAAACTGAGTATGACTGTGCTTTATTCATGTATTTATTACAAAGTATTAATCAAACCTGGGAGCTGGCCGTCAGACAGACACATCGCAGATGACAGAGCGCTGTGATTACTCCTAAATTAACTTAAAATCCTGAAACCTGCCGACAGAATATGTTCGCTTTTATTACCGGTATCCTGGTGCCTGCAGTTTAAATTATTTAGATGAAAAACACCAGCCACCGCGGTGAACCCGGAGGCTGCCCAGCCTAGAGGCTGCTGATGAAGGGATTTCTACTGTCGGTGTACCACTGTATGTCGGGGTCTGAGCGCCTCCGACAGAAATAGTAGCCTATAGGCAGGATAATAATCTGGATGAACTGACTGCAATTATTAAGTTTTCAGGTGGACTTTCTCACTTAAAAACATATTAAAACTACTTTATTCCCACTGATCACAGCAAATATAGCTGCAAGATTTAGATTATTTAGATGAAAAAACATCTGCCAGCCGCGGCGGTGAAACCGGAGGAGACCCGGCCCAGAGGCTGCTGTTGAATTAAGTTTTCAGGTAGAAAAATAGAGCGGGAGCAAAACTGAGTATGTTTGTGCTTTATTCATGTATTTATTACAAAGTATTAATCAAACCCATCGAAGTCATCATCCTCTGTTTCTGAATTAAACAGCTGCGCTAAATCAGACATGCCAATTTCCCCTTCTTCGCTGTCAGAGTCACTTTCCGTGCAGCGCGGCTCCTCAGAAATAATGCCGGCTTTTGCAAAAGCTTGAAAAAGTGAGCCAGCAGACACGTTAGTCCAAGCATCAACAATCCATCCGCAAACGGTGGCGTAACTTGCCCGGCGCTGCCTTCCACTTATCGTGAAACTGTGGTCTCCGTCTGTCACTCATCGCTCCCACGCCGCTCACAGCCTTACTTTGAACGGCCGGTTCACACCGATGTCGAGCGGTGGAAGTTCCTTTGTCAGACCCCATGTTTTTCACATCAGCTGTGAGATGGGCACGCATGGAGTCACATATTAAAAGCGATGGTGATGACTGGAAAAAACCACCTGGTCTCCTCACATACACCTGCCTCAGCCACGCTTTCATCATCTCCTCATCCATCCAGCCCTTGTCATTTGCGTTAATATCATATGTCATCAGAGCGCTGTGTCTGTCTCGCTGTCAGCTCCCAGATCAGCTTCTCTGATTGGTTGATGCGGCGCTTCCAGCAGCAAAACTTCAATTTTTCCATCTCGAGCAGCAGCAGCGCGTTGGCGGCGCGCTCCCGACGCGCTGCGCCTGCTGCTCAAAACGCGCTGCGGGACCTTTTGCTGCACCTATACGCGCGTCAACCGTTGACTTTGCATGTAAACTCGCTGCTTCTGCTGCACCTGCTGCGTCCGGTTCACAACGAGCACAGCATTAATTTGTTTCACCATGTTTTTCACATCAGCTGTGAGATGGGCTAGCATGGAGTCAGATTAACAGCGATGGTGATGAGTGGAAAAAAAAACACCTGGTTTCCTTACATTCACCTCCCTCAGCCACTCTTTCATCATCTCCTCAATGAGGTGGTCTCAAAAGTCGCAGGTGCAACACACATAGGGCGCACCGCACCAAAGGGCGCACCGCACATTTTGAGGGAAAAAAAAGTCGTGAAAATACGGTAGGTAGATTTACACAGATCGTAAATGTCTGTGTCCAAATATAAACAAGAGTGCATTCAAGCCTCACTTCCTTCAGTATAAACAGTGAAGGTAACATTAGCTCAACTCACATGAAGTTCCATATTTAATAATTTTTTTACAGTGTATTGCTACTGTTGTCAGAAAACGTTAATGACTGTGTTACCCTTAGTTATTTAATGAGGATTTAATTTAACCAACTTTTAAGTCTTTAAGAGAACAGCTAATAGCCTAATAGTGTCAGGGTTGGTGGATGTTGGTGCGGACCAAAATGCAGATTAGTTGGAGGCAGAGATGAGTTTGTGCAGATTTATTAGAAGGTAGAAGGCCAAAAACAAAGCCTTCTTGGGCTTAGTACTGTTTTGACTTGTTTTGGCTTTTACTAAGCTTTTACTAAGCCCAAACACATTGGCATTTTGAATTGAAAAAGCTTCCTGAATGGAAAACGAAACATCTTTAAACTTGCAAACAAAGTTCGGTGGATTGTTTTTTGAATGTAAGGTATCCTGATAGTTTTTTTCTTATTTGAAATGTGTATTTTCTTATTTGATATTATTCTCATATATGGTAAAACACTACAGTTCTTTCTGAAATACACAATACTTACTTTGGATTCATGCGTTGATGGTTTTAGTTTATTTGGTCTGGAGAGAAAAGAAAAATGCAAAAAGTGAAGTAGTTTTTATGAAGATTTTCAGTGCATATACCTCTAACATCCCTGAGAGATACATAGGAGAGACTGAAAATAGCAGATTTACCTGCATTCCTTTCAAATTACTTGCAGCTTGTTTGACTTGTTCTGCTCACAAATTTCTTTTTCTTTTTTATTGTTTTCACTAAGCCAACTTTTGTACTTACGTTGACCTGGAGAATTAAACTAATCGGGTCAGCCAAGCAGCAGGTTCCCATAATTTGAGCTGTGACCCCAAAAATTACAATGCAAAAGACTGAATAACCTCTAAAAATACATAAAATTACTTCATTTTCCAACTATTAACAAATAACAGTTAAAGTTCAATAATAATATTTCATTTAAGATACATTTATTATTTAAAAGGAAAATATTACAGTTATTTATTTAATAGTGCCTCTCAAGTTAATGATGTATTTAATATTTCAATTTTATGTACTAAATCATTCAATTCAATGATCACTTTACAACGATTGTGAACATCAGGGTTCCAACCCCTACTTTAAGTAAACTCTGTTAAACTGATATTTTAAGGTTCTAAAAAAGAAATTTTTTTCAGAGTCACAACAACTGACACAATTATGAGTCATCATTATTATTAAATTTTTATGGGCTGTGCTTTTAGGTGGGTGTATGTGTTGGCCATTTTTTTTTAAACTGCTGTTCCTTTTATGCATTTTTTGTAGCTAAATCTTTAAGACTTAATTCCTTTTTTATCCAGGAAGTTTTTTCTTATGAGTCACTCTGTTTTACCCTGTTTTACTTGTTAAGTCTGTGTTTTCTATGTTGCTCTCGTGTTGTCATCCATGTGGTAATGGACACATGCTGTTGCGTGTTGTGTCTGTGAGAAACCCTTTTTTAATCTCTTCGTCTTTCCTTCCTACACACCTGTTTGTGCAGTTTTTGTTTTTTCTTGCTGGTGTGTCATTCTTTGGTATTTTCTGGTTTATCTACTTTACTCTAGAAGCTGCAGTCCTGGGAATACTATTAAAAGTGTAAAGGTTTCATTGGATTATATGTACATCTCATCGCTCCTCTCTTCATGTCATTAAGGGACACTATCTACCAAATTGCATCAACTTCAGAATTTTCGGACAGCGGTAAGTTTATTTAATACCTGTGTGAATTTCTCATGCATATGGAAATAAACTCTCGATAACTAAGCTTTATTTTGTGAAAAAAATATGAATTAATAATTGATTGTTTACCACCCCTCTACACATTTCTTTCTGTACATTATATACCCAAACACAGATATAAATATATATATATATATATATATATATATATATATATATATATATATATATATATATATATAGATAGATAGATATACAGATATATATGTATAAATTAACTTTACTGCAGGTGTAAGATAGTGAAGTTTGTGAAAATGCTTTTTTTTTTACACACACTCTATCCAGACTACCAGTTCCTGGTACTGTAACATAATTCACCCTCCAGGATGACATGTAAAATGAAGCTGTTGGTTTTTCTGCTGATTATGGTGGTCCTTGGAGTTCTCAAGTTTGACTTCAGAAGTTCCCTGTTAACAAGCCAAAGCTCGTTCCCCTGTTTTGCTAAAGATAATCTGCTGTTTATGCGTCGCGTTGAGCCATTCTTGTCTGCACGCACCAACCTATCAGAGGAGGCCTTTACGTGGTGGAAAGTAAGCTTTCATGTATATTTTAACAAGTATCTTTTGTAATAACAGATTTGGTGATAGCATCAGTTTGTTTCCTGGAAATTAGCATGTCTAACCGCGTCTGTGTTTCTGTTTGACAGCACATTCAACTTGAAAAGCGTGACCTCAGTTACTTTAAAGCAACCCTAAAAAGGCTTTTTGAAATCTTCCCATCCATTCCCAAATTTGGAGAACGCAGATCAGAGAGAATAAGAATGTGTGCTGTGGTGGGAAATTCCATGGATTTAAAAGGTTCGGGGTATGGACGTCTCATAGACTCCCATGAAATCATTATAAGGCAAGTGTTTTTGTTTGCTTCATCATCAAGAAGATAAATACGTATTGACGAAAAACCTTCTCGCCTGCTGCTTAGAATGAACTTTGCTCCAGTGAAAGGTTATGAAGAAGACGTTGGGATCAAAACAACACATCGTGTCATGTATCCAGAGAGCGCCGTGGATTTAGATAATACGACGCATCTTGTGCTGTTTCCATTCAAGATAAATGATATTGAGTGGCTCATTAAGGCCTTTACAACAGGATTCTATGGAAGGTGAGATATATTGTAAAAGGTAAGTCATTGCTGTCTCTTTTTTATTTACATGCTAATGTACTCCCTACAATACATATAAAGATTGAATTGTCATGTTTGTTTTAAGGTTTCTAACCCACATGCAGAACACACGGACTCTGGGAAAAAGTTCAACAGTTTATTGTTTGACATAATGAGAATAAAGCACTGATTCTGGGGGTTATCAGGTCCAGGACTGGTCACGACTGGTTTCTCTGCAGGGGGGGACAGAATGGTTAGCAGATGTCCAGGTATTTTTGCTGGTAGAATGAGTGTAGGTCTGTACCTGTTCTGAGGTTTGAGCAGAGCGGCAGAGGGGGGGAACCAGGAGGGTCCAGAGGCTGTCGGCAGGCAGAGGGCAAGGCAGAGGCAGAGCTTGGTTTGTGATCTTGCAGATTCGGATCTGAGTTTCTCTTTCAGTTTCTTCTGAAAGCGGGCAGGCAGGTATCTGACAGATTTGACTTCCAGAGTTCTTCAGAGATCAGACAGGCTGGTTTCAGACTGAGAAACTCTTCCAGAATTTCAGGGTACAGTCAGGTTCTTCCTGGGAAGCAGAGAGGACAAAAACAGGTCAGGTTCAGGTTATCAGGGAGTCAGAGATTCAGACAGCCTGATTGGCTAAGGCTTGCTAACCATAACTGGCAAACACCACTTCTAACACCACTCTGGCGCCGGAGTGTTGCTCTGCCTCTCCTTAAATGCTGGTCTCCTGATGAGCAAACGAGCCGCAGGTGTGAAGTCAGCTCCAGCTCCAGGAGACCTAGAACTGTAGGAGAAAGGTGGACAGACCTCCACATAAATAATCTTTAACAGTTTTCAATATTTAGAGTTAATGCAACCATTTAACAATAAAGACATTATTGTCTTTCAGATGATGTTCTTACAATAACTTACACAAGTTAAATCTAATGTTTATCCTTTGCAAACTTAGCGATTTTTTTTTTACAGTTAAAACCACAGGCTTTCATGTAAAGCAGTGCAACATTTTGAAGTGAAGGGAACCCTTAGCAAAAAGCAGTATACTTTAAGTAAATTATATTAAGTATACTTAAGTATAAGTATACGTTTAGAAAGTATACTCGGGCTATGTACTTTTAGTGCACTTGAAGTATACTATTTTAATACTTCTTCGAACTAAATTGGGACATTTTTAAGTTTACAAAAGTATACTGATAGTATACTGTTCCAAGATCATTTTAAGTTTACTAAAGTATACATTAAATTATTAAGCAAGTACACTAATCTATATACTAGAAGTTTACAAAGTATACTTGTGGTTCACATTTTAGTTTGTTGAAGTATATTTAAAATATACCACCAGTATACTCTTCAATATCCTGCCAATATAATAGTTATATACTGCTAGTCCATATTTTACACATTCAAGATTTACTGAAACTAAAATACTATTTTAATTTGTATAAGTATACTTAAGTTCACTGACCATATTGTAGCACATCAGATATCATATCCTTACAGTTACCCCATAATGTAGTTATAATGCAATATGTTTATACAATTACAAGACAGTATCTTGATAACTTTGGTTTATTTATATAACATATAGGTTTTTTTTTCTAAATGCCATCTTAAACTATTACAGACTGCATTTCAAAATTAAAAAGCTTCTCTTAAATCAAACCGTTCTTAGGTTTCAATATTAAAATAAAAATGTAAACACATTTACATATGAAAATATAAAAACAATGAAGTCATTCTTTGTCAAAAATTAAAAACTGCAATTGACATCAAAAATCTAAACAAAAGTGTGTTCCAGATAAGGACTGAATAAGAACTGAGAACTGAAGTCCTTGGTTTTCAAAAGAAGCTTAGAAAAGTGCACATTTTCGGAACAAAATATCTTCAAAGAAACAATATTTTTATGACTTTTCATCTAGTTGCTTTGAATAGCTTAAATTGTTGCATTTCTTTCTAATGATCCTCCTGACATCTTGCATGGCGGTGTCGGGGAACTTCGCCTGGGCATAGGCTGTGAGTACAAAAACAAATATACAAACAAAACATTACTTATTGGTAAATTTCTTTACTATCCACATCTAACACACATGTCAAACAGCCATAAAAGAATGTTTTTTCACGTATATGTTTGGAACTTAAATATAATCTATAATATACAGAAACTGCAAAGAAGAAAGATGTTGTTAACAAAGTTCAATTCAGCTTATTTATATAGCGCCAATTCAAAAGCGAAGTTATCTCATGGCACTTTACAAAGACAATTTAATCATATCATACAGACAAATTGTTAAATATTTTTTATCCCCTGATAGCATTCAGTGATGGACTTTGTAGTATTCCCTCCTCCAGAAAGTCCAGAATACCACTTTTCACAGATTCAGAAACTAGTGCCTCTCAAGTGCAGACTCAGGGTCAATCAGAATATCTGAAATTGGTAAGGCCCTATAGTCACACAATATTATAGGTAAGTCAAAATGGTTTAGCACTTGTTGACATAAATACTGTCAAACAGGTTTCTTCCTTTTTAATAGCAGCAGGTTTCCTTTCATGCTTGCTCAGTATGAGGGATTGCTGCAAATCCATGGACAATGCAGACGACTCCCTGTGGCTCTACGCTTCTTCAGGAGTGATGCTGCTTGGAGAGACTTTGATGCAATCAACTGGTTCCCTTATTTAGGAATTTTTTTTTTACCAATCTGTATAATCTGACCCAATCTGTATAATCTGATTCATTTTTTTAAAGTACCTTGAGATGACATGTTTCATGAATTGCCACTATATAAATAAAATTGAATTGAATTGAGTGTGATGTGCTTTGATCCCTCATAAGTCTCCATCAAAAATGGCCCTTGTTTGGTTTAAAATATGGCGCACACACTTTCTCGATTGTAGCATCAGTAAATAACTGATATGCCTCATGGCCTCTTAAAAAAAGAAAAATGTGCATTTACCTGAAATACTTAAGCTTTGTAAAACAGAAAAGGCCAGGATGGAATGAACACACTGTGAAACAGCCTACTGTAACTCTACTGGTATTAAAACTAATATTAACTGAATTAATATATCATCGCCAATATTACAGAACACCAAACAATACAGTCATTTGCTCATAAAAGAAGGAGAAAACAGCACGTATGAATTTTTTTTAAGGACGGTTTTTGTCCTAAATTACACGCACTTACCAAGTATAGCGTCAAGTTTTGTGTTGTCCAGTTGTGGCTTCGACTCCACATTTTTGTGAGCTCCTGACTGCCTCCCAGTCAAACTTGAGTTGGCCAGTGTTTCTCGACCATAGACGAGCACCGCCAGATCCCCAATGTACAGTGCTGAACTTGTAGTATGCACTGACTTCAACTTCTGACTTGGGACTTTGACATCATACCCTGGCAAAAGGGGCACCTGCGAAGATTTGAATGTTATTCACCAAATAATTATTGTGAAATTGCTTAAAATGTTTGGTCATCTACTGTATCTATTTGACAGTAGTAGAAAACTTATCCAAAACAAACAAATTGTGAATCCATGAAAATATCATTAAATTTAAGACAGCTCCATTGAACAAACATTTAAAGAAATTAAAGGTAGTTTAATTGAAGATAAGTGGTATATAGAGTATAATAAACCATGTGGACAGTTAATAAACCGGAAAATTGTACACCAAACACTTTCATATATGTGTCAGGAACATATAGTATCCATGAGGTAAATACCATATCATTATGGTCAGGCACAACTTGGGGAGAGATGGGTAGAGAAACTGGTGGCTCTACAGATGTTGTTGACAATGGTTGTTGATTGGTGATTCTTTCAACCACATCTTTCAGCTGTGTCACCACTGCTGGAAGCTCTAAAAACAAATGAAAACAAGGGAGGAAACAAGGAAACAAAAGCTTAGCGTCATTAGTATTGATACCATTTTAGAAAATTGAATTGGTCATTTGTGTTATGAAGGGTGGGATAAAGGCTGGGGTGATTAATGGGGCTTTCTGAAAGGAAGCAACGTTCATACCGCTGTGCAGTGTGAACCTTTGACTGCAGCACATGCTGCAGTCAAAGTTAAGCATATTAAAAAGTCAGAAGGAGAGGTGGGAACACCAGAGAGCAAAACACAAAAGGTAGTGCTGTGTATTGACAGAAAACTGGTGAACTAAGGCAAGCCTGAAACTGCTGTTTAAGAGACTGAACTCCCAGAGCCGCTCCACAAACCTGAGGGTTTCCTTGACCCACAGCTTCTTCTTCCTTTCTGCCATTTTTCTCTGAACCAGCAGGGCTAGTGCTAGCGCTAGATTCTTAGCACAGGAGATAGATGCATATTTTTCTTTATTTCATATATTGCAAGGTGTATCGGATCTGCTTTAAAATTTAAGTAGAAGACTGAAGCTAGATTAGGGTCCTTTTCCTTATTTGGCTTAAAAAACTGTGTTTAACAATTTGCTTTGCTTGAATTGAATTATAAATAAATACCTCTCATGGCATCTAGGATGTCTTTCACATGGGCTTCTTTCAGACTCTTGTTCTCTCTCTGGAGCTTTTTAAGTTTCTGCTGTGCCACACTCCAGTTTCTGGGAAGCTGCTCCTCATCTGATGACTCCTCATTTGAGTTACTTACAGCATTCTAAATTGCAGTAAATTTCACACCATAGCAATTACACTAGCTTAAATTACACCAATTAAAATACATTCAAAAATTTTACCTCTGAATTTATTTTTTTGGCCAACTTCTTCTTCAGCTCCTCTATCATTTGGTTTGCTGAGTCTTTTTCTGGGGCGGTTGCTTTCTTCATTTTCTGTGACAATTTTAATTCAGTTCTGTATTGTTATAACGGGTTATAACAATACAATACAATACGGTCTAGCATCACAATTAATGATGATTTACTCTAGTTACAGATGGATCACAACAAGATTTCAAAATGTATGAATAAATTTTAACAATCCAATAGAAATGTTACTTTTCTTCTGAATTACAATAGACTCGTCTTATGCTGAGTTATTTATGCGGGCAGCTACCTTTTTTGTTTGACCTTCATGGTCCTCCTCTTCAAAATCTTTCCATTTGCTGTTTGGTTTACTCTTCCGCTTGGGGGCTTCTTGCCAGATGTCTTCACCATTTATGAATTTTTGTCTCTTCTTGCAGAGGTCACTGTAGTTGTCTGTGTAAGAGAAGTTGTCCAGTTAAAAACAGAGAGATTTTAAAGTGCATTGAGATGACGTGTTGTGAATTATCTATACTAAATAAACTATTAAAACATGAAAAAATGAAGTTGCAATATTAAATAATATTCAGCAAATTGTAATACACGTTCTGTTAATTTAGTGTGTCATTCCTATTATCCTGTGTCTTTTAGGGCCCACTCCTGAAACATGCTACATTTTGTGTTGTGGAGGCCTGATTTTTTTTATTCTTTTAATCCCATCAGAAACTTATGACTCGCTTTATCAAAATTATGTGCACATAAAAGGATATATTTTTTGAGTGCAACATGGTTTAAATACCATGTCACCAGGGGCGGCTCTAGACAGGGGGTAAAAGGGGCCAGTGCCCCTATAGAAATGGTCCTGGCCCCTTTTAGGGCCCCTGTATTAAGGACAACACATTTAATACACTTCTTATTATATGCACATAACTGCTTGGTCATTTTGACCAATCTAAGTTTTTTACCTGTACAGTTTTACAACAAGGTTTTAAAAATTAAAGTGTTTCAGTAGTTTCTGTAGTTCCAGAGCCACAAGTGGCTCCCCTTAATATTATTAGACAATTAAATATTGCCCTGTTTTATTGTTTACCTGTTTATTCTGTGCCCCTATGAAAAAACACTGGCCCCACCTTGGCCCCCCTGGTAAATTTCGTCTAGAACCACCACTGCATGTCACCTTATAATTTCTTTGCAAAATCAAGTTAGGACTATAATAAAAATACATAATGTAATTTAAAAAATACTTATAAAAATTACAGTTCATAGTAGTCCTCAACCAATTCTTTCAACGTTATTGTTAATTGCCTACATATGAACTAACCTCCTAAAAAAATGTTGAATAATGTATCTTTTTGCTAGCTTGTAGGTTATCTTTAAAAAAAAAAAAAAAAGCAGCATAACTGGGCATTGCAAAGCGAACTAATAAATGAATATAGATAACTATAGGAAGTAAAAATTAAGCTTACCATCAAACATTAAAACCTTTGAAGGAAAAAAGGTTTGACCGCTGGACTTTTTTCTGCCTTTGACGTCCCACTTTACCTCTATCCATCCATCTTCATCTTCTAGATTAGGGCACTCAGTTATTATTTTAGGACATTGTTGCTGATCAATAGGACTTATCCACGACGTTTTCCCAACTTCCACAGTCTTGTCTTTAAAATAATAAAGGGCAAATGCCATCTCTGTATCATGAAAATACGTTCTGGGAATAGGAGCTTTTTCCCCCCTTTTTTTGGGGGGAGAAAACGGTTAACGCAGCGATGGGCGGGAATTTGCTATCGGGCTTCCTATTGGCTGCCTGGTAGAGAGGCGGGAACATGGGCGGAAACGGACAAGGTCAGGTGACGTCAGGAGGGGTAGAGAGAAGAAAACCTCTTGTGAATGAGCCCATTAGATCTATGGCAAAACGTCTTTGACCTTATCAAAGATATTTGGAGGATTATACAGCAGATGTCCCAAGGAGTACCAAGCACAGATGGAAAGTAAAAGTAAGTAAGAGATAATAAATTCAGACTACTATGATTTCAATGTCAAAGTTCAAAACAGCTAGCTAGCTCTCCTAGTCACCATGGTAAATGCCTGGTAAAGTCTTACATATATATATATATATATATATATATATATATATATATATTTATATATATAAATATACTGTGTATGTATATATATATATATATATATATATATATATATATATATATATATATATATATATATATATATTTCTTGGTTTTTTCTGTAGCTGCCCATGGTCTACATACAGTCTTATTTGTAGGCAAAATACAATTTTAAAGATCCACTCAGTATACCTGTGGACAATAAAATGCCTTGAGTGGTCATAAACAAGTACAACATTCCACCTTTCCAGGGCCTACAGGACAACCCACCAGAGCATTTGAGTCAGTCTGTTGCTTCACGCAGAGTTACAGATGTAGACAGCAGGAGTTCCTTCACTACAAGTCCTTTGGACATGGCCTTTCAACAGGTAAGCATATAATGACAGTTTTAGTCTCAAGGGGATTTTTTTTCCAAATTATACATTTAATTATCTAAATATATCGGTTTAGCAGGGCACTAGACTCAAAATTGTTGCCACTAAGAAACATTGGAAAATAAGAACATAGTTCTTAATGAGAGGCACCAATGTCACCTCTGAACATGGAGAAAACAAAAAGAAATAGGGGTGGGCTTAATTAACAAAGGTACAGGAAAGAAAACGTATATAGGTGAAGCATAGAGTAATAAGATGAAAAACATTGCTCCCCCCAACTTTGTTCTTACAACCTGGTGAGATCCCTGATGTCAAAGCATCTTCTGTTGCCAGGATAAATTCCCATATTTATCTTGGTAATGCCTGGTTTTATTTAATATTGGCAGCTAAGGCTCTGTTTTGGATTTGTTGATTGGGCTTGATATACATGAAGTAATTCATTTAGGTATTCATTATTTATGTTTTCAATCTGTAGAATACTGGCTGTAATGTTGACAGCAACACAGACGATCCCATGAGTAACACTTTGACTGATGGAGAGGAAGAACCCAGCAGTTCCAGCAATGAGGACGAACTCAATAATGACAACTCTTCCACAACTACCATGACTGATATGATAATACAAAAGGTACAATTCTAATTACAGTTTTAGCCTTATTGGGATTTTTTGTTTGCTCTTTTAGTGGATAGGGTAATGCACTAGGCCAATTTCATTATCAGAGTAATACTCTTCAGGGGGTTCTAATTACACCCTCAATTTGTCAATGGTACACACATTTCACAGTGAAAGCAGTTTGCTGTAGTAGCTGACCTATCCTTTAGCCTAACCCAGCAAAAGCAACAGCACACTAGCTGCACAAATCCAAACATTCTTATAAAAATATATTTTCAACTCTGTTTCTTTTGTTCATATGTAGAATGATAACAAAATGAACACAGAAGAACACTGTATGGACACTTCCACTAGTGAAGGGGAAGATGAGGAACTCAGTACTGAGAGCATGACCACATGCATTTTGGATGTACACATTCCAGAGGTAAATTAACTTTTGTATGTGGTAGTTTATATATGTGTTCTATATAGAAATGCTTTCTCTTTTTAATTAATTTCTTCAACTACTCCTTTTTTCTTTGTTAACCTGTAGAATGAAGAAGCTGTGTCATATTCTGAAGACAACTTGACTGATACGTCTAGTAATCAAGGTGAAAACCATGCTGATGATGAAGACATGATGGAGGGGAATAATGCTGGAGAAAAGACACCCAAACTTAAAGTGGTATGTAGAAAGTAGTTCGAAAACATAGTGCTAGTAGTAGTAGGGCTGTTACAAAAAAATTAAAAACTTTGGACACAATACATAATAATGATAAAGAAGGGAGTTACTTTCAAAACTAAGCATTAATTGTTTTTCAATTTTGCTATAGGTAAAATGCTTTATGCTAGATGGAGATTACTGCTCAAGTTTGCTGCTGTTCATTTTCATTCATACATATTTTCTCTTTTCCTTCATTCTATAGGGCTCTGAAGACCAAGCAGATGGTGACAACCCCCTATATCCTGGTGCATCTATTTCAAAGGGAGAAAGTATACTGATGCTAATGTCTTATGTGCTGCGACACAACTTAACAGGCAAGGCAGTTACTCACTTACTGGAAATGTTTAACCTAATGTTTCCAGGTCTGATTCCACCCTCACCCTCCTACCTTTTCCACAAAGAATTTAAAGGTTCATCTCAATCTGAAATTCACTTTTATTGTGAAAAATGCCTTGCATACCTTGGCAATAGTGCACACTGTAACTCTCAGTGTACCCATTGCAACAAAGCGTTTGATGCCAACAGAAGATCTTTTTTGAGGAACTTTAACTTTAACAAAAGAAAAACTGAAAGTTGTAAAGTCCTAACTGAAAGTGTTAGGGATTTTGGTAATCCAACAATGCAGAAATCTATTAAAATTTCGTATAGGCTTGCAATTGCAAAGTTGTGTGGAAATCTAAGCAACTGCTTCTGGTCTTTCAACCGTTTTTTGGTCAGTGGAGTTCTGTATCATAGTCAAAAGTATGACAAATTGAAAAAGAGATACAACAGTGCAGTATACTTAAAAGATGGAACACTTTGTTTAATTAATGACTTGGTTATTTTTAAACAAAAATGTTCACATGAAATTTCTGCTTTGTGTTCTTGTACCAAAATGTGTTGTGTTTTAGTTGAAGTACTTGCTAAATTAGACAGACCTGTATGTAAAGATTCACAGATCAACATACAAAGTACTTTCTTATTTGAGGTTAAAAAAACTGAAACTGTTAACGCTGTGTGGCCTGACATGCTTCTAACCAAATGTGTTCTTGTTGAAAGAGATAATGCTTTGTACATAACACCATTGCCAAATGCTTGTGAGAGACTAGAACTTGACCAATAAAGTCAGTCAAATGTTTCCCTGTGTCTGTGTATGTTTTAAGTTACACAAAGATAAATAAATTACATACAAATCAATATACTGTAAACTTTTAAACACCAGCACTATATGATCTTGAATATACTTTATCTTTCATTGTTTACTGGATCAGCACATGTATTAGTACTTTGTGGCAGAAATAAGAAAAAAAGCACAATATACCATAATACAAGTACAAGATTAAGTATTAAAGTATAGGCATTGTATTGATTTACTTACCCGTAGACTTCTTTTTATACTTATTAGTATAAGTCAAGTACACTTGACTATACTATTGTAAAGTATATGAAATATAGTTTAGAATAAGTAAACTTTAAGTACACTGCCGGATTTTAAGTATGAAATTAGTGCACTTTTAGTATACTTGAATAAACTTCTTTTTGATAAGGGAAAACAAGACATAGCTTTCTGGCAAATAATGATATTCAACATTCATTACTCTGATACCCCATAGAGATGCACAATTTTATACTGAATCATAATCAGATATTGGTGATTTGATATCATATATCAGAGATCCAATCCAATGGACTTAAAATTCAACAGTTTTTATCCACTTCTTATTTGTTAATAAACAATAAAAAGTACATTTAAATCTGTTAACTTGCTTATAGCAAGGCTAAAGCCTTCACTCAATTAGCAAGATATATAGTTCCTTCAACAGCTGAATCAGATGAGTAAAGGCAGATACACTCAGTCTAAGTATCTCTAACTGATTGGATCTGAAAAAACAAGATCACTGCATTTCTAACACCTCAATTGTTGCCTTAAAATTTGTAAATATAGTTCACTTTATGTAGTATAATCTCTACATAAATCCAGCTATTCTGTGCAGTACTCTGAGGTGTTTTATAGAACACTAGTGAGCAAACCAAGGACCAAGGAACATGGTGGACACATTGGGGGCGCAACAAGAAGGCAATGAAAACTCATGTTTGCCACTTACAGTTATGGTTCTCCACTTTCAGACCTCTATTTGAGTTTCTTTTGAGTTTTCAGCTATTTGTGTCATTCTGTTTTGTTGATCTTTGGTTTATTTTTCACTCTGTGTTATATTAAAGCTGTGTTGTATTTTTTGAGTTACTCTCTGTTGCCCCTTGTGCCTGTCTCCTTTCCCCAAGCTCCCTTCTAGTTACTTCTATCCACACCTGCTTCATATCAGATCATTGTTGCATTCTTTGTTCCTTTCCCCATAGATATACTACCTCTGCAGTTCCTAATTGCTGGTTTCTTATTTCACTTGGCTCCCCATGTCTGTTTCCCCTAATGTCCCCTGGTATTTTTTGGTTTCCTATATTTTTGGTGCTTGGATTTTGTTTCTGTTGCCTTTTTTTTATCAAATCAGAAAAACTCATCTCTGCCTCCTCATTTCTGGATTTGGGTCCTCAACTAACTTCCACCAAACCTGCCACTTGCTAAGGAGAAGATGAATGCTCCAGTTAAATAAGACCAAATTTGAGCTTTTGGCTTATATGTTAAAACATTATGTTTAAAGCGACTAACAACTAGTGCATTTCCAGGATAAAGAGCAGTTTAAGTAACATGCAATCGGGATTCAACTTTTGATACGGACTTAGTAGCTGATGGGAAGATGGATGGAAGAAAATGAAATATGCAGTGGAGGTTCACCATTCAGCAGAAAGACTCTGACACTACAGCCACAGCCACAACAAAGACGTCTAGAATAAGCCTAGTCATTTCTTGAAGCGGACCACTAAAATTCAACATCTGAATCGGGCGGAAGTTTAAAATTGGTATTAAAACGCTTTTCATCTATTCTGATTTAGCTGGATATATTTTTCAAAGAACAATAGATAAAATAGTTTCTACACGCTGGAAGCTTGTGATGACATCCCCAGAAAATACAAAAACATTCACTGCAACAAAAAGGGCATTTGCAAAACTTACACTGTCTTTATTTGATCAGCTGGAAGTAAGAGTGATGAAGAATTCATCATGCAGAATATGATATTTTGCTAACAAATAATACTAATACCTATATGGAAAAGCTAGATTAGCTACATGGTATGGTCGGAAAACAAAACAGATCATATTCTGTTTGAGAATGTGCGATGATATCAGATTATCTAATCTGTTGGCTTCTATGGAAGAATAGATTTTCATTAGTAAAGGCCAATATTAATACATTTCAAACCTAAGAGATACAACAGAACAATACTTGTAAAGTATTTGCTTCTGTTTTTGTTCATCATTCTATGGTTTTAACTTAAAATAATGCTTTTGAAAGCTACATTATTCAGCCAATAATGCAAATAACAGAATTTTAAAAATGTATTTAGATTTTTCTTTTCCTTCAACATCTCCTAATGATTCCCAGTATTCATTTGCTGCATTAACACCACAATATCTATACAAAATGAAGATGTAAAGTTATTTATGACAACCCTATAATGCAATTATGCAGTTCTAATAGAAACTTAACATTTTTCTGATTCTGGAGTGAGGCTGATATTGTATTGAGTGTGAAATAATTTTTCATACTGTGTTAATAAAATTTAAAACTGCTTTTTCCTTTATTTTTACAGATCATATGCACCGATAAAACCAAAAATAAAAGGCAACAAAAATTTGGTGAGTATTGTATCGTTGAATGAATGAATGAATGAAACATTTTGATTTGCAATAACTAGTGAAAACTACATTTTCATAATAGGTGATGGTGGTCAGTCCAGCTTTTATGAAGTACTCTCATGAGGTTTGGCTGGGGAGTATAGGGAACTACCCTTCCACTGGTTTTATGACTTTTGTTCTGAGCCTTCATGTTTGCGATGAGGTAAGTTAGTCTTTCTCCCAAAGTGACCATAAGGTTCTCAATTCTAAAGTTATAGCATTGTACAGTCTTGCACGAGACCAAGACCTTTCCTATTTAAGCATCTGACAAAGAAAAGTAACCTGGTAGACTTTCCAGATTGTAAGTGGTGTTTTACATATACTATACATCTGAAATTGTCTTTAAATACACCTTAAATCAATTTAGAAGAATATTATGAATACAGCTCATGCGTACCCTTGTTTTTCCTTGCGATGGCCTGCACTAGAATTTGACTCAATATTGCTTTTGATTGTTGGAATTTCCCCTTTAAATGCAAAAGAGACAGGATTAGTTGTCACTACCTGATCCGTCGCGGAAGCACAATCCATCCTGCACACACCTGAACAGATATACATCCAGGTGTCCATAAATAATGTAATTATGATACAATAATTTCTTATTTCTATCATTAGCTCTCTAAAGAATGTCAACGCACATCTATGAAACATTTTGTATGACTTTTAAGAGACAATTTTTATGCTTTTTACATTTTCTTCGTTAAACAGCTTGTCTGACATCATTGGACATGCTCAGAGCAGTCTGGCAAAATATGATTAAACCATGTTTATCTACATTTTAGTTGTTTCTTTCTTTAGATTACGCACTGTATACCATAATGTTAACAGGAAAGGAAAATGTAAAACTCAAAAAGACTAGAATGATGTTTAAAACCAAAGCCGAAAAAGTTAGCTCCCGGAAGTAGCGTAGGATCTCATTTCCATTGCGAATCTGGCAGAGATGAGTGAAAAACCAGAATTTATTTTCACAGAAAATACATGATTAACCTTTAACACATTATATTTTAGTATGCTTAGTAGTTTTGTGGAGGGGAAATTGTCATTTAGATCTTTTTAACAAAATAAAATCGAGGGCGACCCAGATGTATATCTGGATGCACATGCACAAATGAGCAGATGGAGCATGTGCAGAACAGATCGTGCTTCCAGGACAGATCGGGTAGTGACAGTGGTGATAGGTGGACTAACCCTAGCATGTTTCTATGAATGACAGAAATCAAAGAGGAGGACCAAAATTGTGCACTGTGGCAACTGCGCCATTCTTGCCTTTTCTAGTTTAAAAAGGAGTGTCTGAAAAGTTTTAACTCCGGCTTAACACTGACAGACAAGAAAAGATGCATTTAAAATAATTTGAATAAGGCTAGTAGGGTTTTAAAAATCCAATGCTGATGTAGTTAATTTTATTTTGAAAATGATATCAGAATCACGTTTATTGCCAAGTAGGTTTGCACTTACAAGGAATTTGACTTGCTGTTGATGGTGCAGACAAATTAGATATGTGTACAGAAGGATCTATAGTTATATAAAATATAAAACATACAATATAATATATACAATATATACTGTACAGTAAAATGTCCCCACTTTCGTTGATGGGCCCTTGGCCTTTTTAAACATGTTTGTACTAAAATATGCTTCAGTCATGATTTATGGACATTAAAATCTAAAGAGAAGCATCATCTCCTGATCAGACCCTGTAATTCAGTGAAAGGGTGGAGTCAGAGAGAAAAAATATGCAGGCCCATGAGAAGGAGTGGGTCACTCCAGTGGCTGGAAGTTGGAGAGGATTTTGCTGGGAGTTGCAGGAAAGTGGGTTGCCATTCGGCTGCCGTTTGACCGGGAAAGGCCATTTTAAATGACTGCTACTGTAGTATATAGCTATGTACTATATACACAGTAGGCTGTGCGTTAATGTAACGCAAGCGGTCTGGAGATGCTACATTAGTATAGCTTCTGGGTCATGAATGGGGGAGGGACAGAGGCAGTGTCAGTGTAACGGAGGTCTCTGGGCCATGTTGATAAGGCTGGTAGCGGATGGGAAAAAACTGTTTTTGTGGTGTGAGTTGTTGGTCCTGATGGACTGCAGTGACTGAAATAGTTTGTGGCTGGGGTGCGAGGGATCAGCAACAATCTTCCTTGCCCTTGTCCTTGACAACACAGTCTGCTGTAAACAGAGGAAGAAGAAGTGGCAGGAAATGCACACCCTTACTGTGGTGAAGTTAAAATGCTTTTAACTTTTCTGCGGTTATAGCCTGTCTGCTACAGCTGCACTCTTTTGGTTTCAGGGGCCAATGTAGCAACATGTGTAGTCTATTTAATGGCTTCCATTTGTGACTTTATTTTTTTTCCATTTACAGGCTATGGTATTAGGCATGGCTTGTAGATACCAGTAAGATAACCTTTTGGTTTTTGAGCTGCTTTAATCATGCTATAATCTTGAGGCTATTTAAAAGATTCAAAGAATGATACTATAGGGTATTTGGTGCTAGTCCTTAAGGCCTCTGAATAGGGTGTGTAACATGGTTGGGCTGAAAATGGCATAGTTGAGTCATAATGCAAGCCTGGTTAAAAGCCCTAGAATGAAAAAAACTTTTTTTTCCTTTTATGGTATGATCATGAATGTTTAGATGAGCTGTGCGCTGATTGGTTGGTTTACAACGAGCGAAGCTCTTGAGCAAAGACGCATCATAGCAACAAGCACTCACTCACTGAAACATCAAATTGTTGATATGGTAGGGTGACCAGATGTCCTCCTTTTCCCGGACTTGTCCTACTTTTCATACCTAAAAAAATGTCCCAGGGGAATTTCAAAATCGTCTGGGATTTTGGTCGACTACAGTGCAGCAGAACCGAGCTGTGAGCTCCAGGGCTGGTCCGGTGCAGGGAGCCAGCAGGGGACGGAGTGACCAAACCCGACCCGGTGACAGTATCCTGGACACAGGCGGCCCCGTGCTTCCCCCCGCCTGCCTTACCGGCCCCCTCCTCCAACTGAGGACGGGCGGCTCAGCGGCCCAGCAGTTGACACTTCATACCTGCCCCCACCGGGGCATGACAAACGTAAAGGCTAGAACCATTTAAAGCAACATCCCCGAGTTTACGTTAATTCAGGGCTTCTTTTGGATTCCCCCGTTTTATGGTGGAAGTTTAAAATTGTGAGATTTTTGTCGATTGGGTTTGAACTTCTCTATATGTCTATTTCACCCACTGACCAATCGTTATTCATCTATGACAATAGAAATTCGGTTTTGAATTCTAAGACCCCTTTTAGACTTTGTCTTTGTTTCGTAAAGTAAACAATCGAATGACCTGTGTAGATTCAGCCCTCATAGGCTTTGTTTTTAATATCATCAAAACACAGAAAGCTGGAGTATTATTTTATTTTCGAATTTTTGTTTTATTTTTGACTTCTCCCATGACAATGAAGACTAAGAACCCTCATGTTCATCTACTCAGATGGTGCTCAGGCACTTATGAGGAGACCATGAAGATACCGCAGCAGAACAGAACCATCAGTTAGGGTTGGATCAATATAAATAGAAGATTCACAATAAACTTGACACAACCTGGTAAATGAACTTAATTAAATTTTTCTTTATCAATCCCCAAAGAGAAATTCAGGTATAAAGTTTTTCATCAAATTCAAAAGCAAACCATTGCTATTTGTATGGGTGTATTGAAACGTAAGGCATTATGAAAGTGGAGCACAGGGAAAAAGGGCAGCGTCATCAGGATAATTCTGCAACAGAATGGTGTGAGGTTTCAACATATATGGCGTGTGTGGAACAACAACTTCATATATAGCCTGGGGGTCTTAGGCAAAACCAAAGATCAAAGAGGACTGGCGACACAGAGGCAAATGTGTGTGAGTTGGTATACAGCAGTAGCACTGTTCTTGTGCAGTGAAAAGAGGAAGAAAAGGGTAAGCCAAAGGGGAAAAAACAAGCAAAGAAAGTTGACTGCCAGCTTTAATTAGATGACAGCAGTAGAGAAAGAGATCTACATCACTCAACTGTATGTCATTCATGGGACCAACAGCTCTTAAAAAATGATCTGAACTATCAGAGATGTGTGACATACTTTGTAAATGATCAGGGGACATAAAAATCATACAATGGTTGGAAATTTGATCTCCAAATCTGATAAATATATATGGCTGAAAATGTTAAATGTGGTTTAAAAATACACCTGTGTTGGAAGTTTTATTAGTTTTTTTTTTTGTTTTTTTTACAAATTTTCCCTGCAGAATGACTTTATCCAATAATATGTTTTTGGATCAATACACACCAGACACTGTAGGCGAGATTGAGGTTCCTCCTAGTTTCAAAATGAGGACTTTGGAAGTTTTTAGCCATCATTTAAAACCTGCCTGACTCTTTGTAGTTTCACAACGTGCAGCAGGATATCAGCAATTTTATGTTAGGTAACTCGTCACTATAAATATTGCACATAAACAAGCAAATGCGTGCCTTACCCAGTAAGTTAACAGCATTATTTAAACTAAAGTGGTCCTATTAAATGAGCAGTTGTAAAAACAAACAAATTAGTGGGTCCATTAAATAAATAAATGTTGGCTTTATTCACAGATATTACAGATAACTCTAACCCAGTAAATTATTACTAAATTAGTAAGATTCTTAGTGTGAAAGGTTCCTGTTGGTGTTAATGAGCAAAGTGAGTTCTTAGCTTAATTCATCTCGATGCAAATTCATCATCAAAATCTCAGCTTTTTAATTATTAAATTGGAAAAAAGATGAAATCTTGAAGTTAGTTAATTTATGAACACCTCAGATTGTTGGATGAAGCAACTGCAGCTGTCATAACCAGCACACATATGTCTCTATTCCTTTGATGAGGCAACCTTCTGGATGTGTGCTAAATACTTAAACTCTTCATCAAATACAAATCTTCAAAATGCCAGTGGAAGTAAACAAAACTTATACTTACTTATACTTAGTAAGTTTAAAAAAAAAAAAAATTATATATGTATATATATATATATATATATATATATATATATACATATATAACATGTATTATCATTATTTCTTTTTTTACATTTTGGGATATTTATAAACACATTATTGGTAATCTTTTAAGATTGTTTTACTATATTTTAAGACATGCCTGCCTTATTTGCAACCAGACATATAGATCAATAAGTTGGCCTGATTTTGAACCTGTGCTTTATTTTTTGCTGCTTTCCTCAGGTACATGTGTTTGGTTTTGGTGCAGACAGCCAGAGAAGCTGGAGTCATTACTGGGAAACCCTTCGAGATAAGAGCTTCAAAACCGGACCACACCCTGGACACCATGAACACGCAATTATACAAAATCTTGCTGATGGAAAAACAGTAAAGCTTTATAAAGGCTCATAACTTTTCTTCTCAAACTTTAAAAGTCAGATTTTCATTCCTATTTTGTTGACATGACTTTATTTGTTGTTATAGTAACAACAGGTTGTTTTTTGGTGGGTGTTTTCTTATTACTTTTTAACCAGTTACCATGTTTTATCCATAGTGTGACAAAATGTCAAGTTAAAGCAAGCTAAGATATTTTCACTCTTTTTTTCCTTTATGGCTCCTATGTGATCTTTGATTTTGAACCCTAGCGGATCACAAAAAAAAAATATAATAATAATAAGAAAGACTTCAAGGATTTTCAATGAGAAACTCTTGGGTCTAAATCTTTGGTGAGAAAAAAAATCCAAGAATGCAGCTGTTTATACATTTTTGACAGTGCCACATTTAAGGCCAGTAAAACTTTACAGGTGTGCATATTTTAAACATGGGAATTGGGTTCATGACACAGATAGATGACATTAAAAGAAGGTGCAAATGAATTTGTATTTGCAGTTCAGCAGCCAAAGAAACTGCAAGCTGGATTTTGTTTATGTTCCTTGAAGGCATCTTGAAAGAGTCATTGGAACAATGCCAGAGGATTGGGAGACATTCTGTGCATCTAAACCAATTTTGACTGTCAAAAATAATGATATTAATTCCATGCAGGTAGTCACAAAGTCATGCAGAAGAACAGCAGACAATCTTTATACCGTTATCTTTGGCCTGATATGTTTCATGGGCTACAAAATAAAAAAAAACAGAACCATTGCTCGTAGTTTTTGCATCTTATCCGTTCTTATCTGATTGGTTTTAAAGGAATAGTACACCCAAAACATGATTAGCCTTCATTTTCTACTCACCTCCATGCTGAACAACACTCTGGAGTACTTTTTTGATATCTCAAATGCATCTGGAGATCTGGGAGACTTCTTGCTGTCTGCTGACATTCAAATAATGGAGGTCTATGGCGCCCGAGACAGAAAGGTCCACAAAAGTCCACAAAAACTTGTCAATATTCCTCCATACTGCTCGTCCAATGTAATCCAAGTGTCCTGAGTGGGTAGCATCCAGAATTTACTCGAAACGAAGTCATTTAGAACGTTTTAGAGCCTAAACAGTAGTGTATAGGATTTCCTAATAGCGCCCCCATGCGCGCTCACGATTCTACGGAAGCCGGCAGACCAAACCAGCGCATTCAGCTCGGCAAAGAACTCATGCTCTTCCTCAACACTGAAGTCCTCAGACATTTTTCTTTCGTTGTTTCTTTCTTTGCACAGGTAAACAGCACATTTCTTCTTCTACGCTTGCATTATCGGCAGACCAGACGCTGAATGCGCACTTCCTTCCGGTTTGGTCTGCCGGCTTCCGTAGAATCGTGAGCGCGCATGGGGGCGCTATTAGGAAATCCTATACACTACTGTTTATGCTCTAAAAACATTCTAAATGACTTCGTTTCGAGTAAATTCTGGATGCTACCCACTCAGGACACTTGGATTACATTGGACGAGCAGTATGGAGGAATATTGACACGTTTTTGTGGACTTTTATGGACCTTTCTGTCTCGGGCGCCATGGACCTCCATTATTTGAATGTCAGCAGACAGCAAGAAGCCTCCCAGATCTCCAGATGCATTTGAGATATCAAAAAAGTACTCCAGAGTGTTGTTCAGCATGGAGGTGAGTAGAAAATGAAGGCTAATCATGTTTTGGGTGTACTATTCCTTTAACCTGATGATGCCGACCATGTTAGTCCCGCCTTTAAAATACAGCTTTACCAGCTCTTTACCAGAATGAATGCTGAGCATAATGTATGTCATATAAGTCTGGCCAGCAACCAGTATTAAAATTTTCATTTTTATTTATTCTATTTGGTTTAACTATATGTATCTGTGCGAGCCAGTAGACCTGTATTGCTTTATTAATATTGGACTAAAATTATCTTTGTTCGTCCAAATATGCTAACATACACACATGGTACCTCTTCTGGCATTTGATCAATTCCTCGTTTTTTGAAAGGATGCCAACAAGTATTTTAGAGTGTCAGTTTGCAGCTCACTTTCAGAAGTACTATAAAAAAGGCGCACAAACTGCAGTGGAGTTTTCCATTTAGAAAATTGCTTTGCACATAGTAAATATTTCCATTTTCATATCCTTCAGCTATTGAGTTGAAAGAGTTTGGTAATTAGAATATGACCGGCACACAAAGAAAAAGGTTTGCATAGCCTGTCTACTGAACTGAACAAATCACTTTGTGCCTTCTTTGGAGATCTGGGTGACATAAAACTGGACAGTTGGACCCAGTAATTAAGGTGAAAGAGACCGTGGGAAAGTTCAAACTTTTTATTTAAATAAACAGACAAAAACAGAAGCACAGAGCTGTGGGCCACCACCCAATCGCTGAGAAACCCTGATAAGTAACCACGATGATCTGACAGGAGATAATTATCTGTGTGAGTCACCTAAGTACGTGGTTCAAAAGTTCAGAGCCCTGGATCCAGCCAATGGACTGCCAAACGAGCTGCATTGCAGGGCCACCAAGAGTGTCTGTGTTGCAGCAACCTCAGTGAGCAGGCAGGAATCTGATCCAGGTCAGAGATACAGATCAGACACGAACAGTTCTGGAATCCAGGAGTCCGCAGGCCGATCAGGGGTTACAATCCAAACAGGAAACGAGAGATCCAGGGTTCCAGGAATCCACAGAGCGTGAAGGCAGGTTCAGAGTTCCATGCTTCCAGCAGCGAACTCAGACAGAAACGCACAGATGCAGACAGGCAGGCTTAGCAGCTGAGGGACAGAGCAAACTGCGAACAAAACTGGTCTCCACCTAGGAGCAAGGCTTACAGGAATTAAAACTGTACTCCACCGAGGGGCCAGGACACGATAAGGAGGCGAGACGAACGCCAAAACCCTCTTAACCCACTGGCCTCCAGGGAGGAGGACAAACAACAATCAATGATCAGGCCCCTATAACTGGGCTGACCCGTATATAAAGCAAAACGAGCAGGTGGATGAGATGAGTGATAAAACGGAGTAGGGCAGGCGAGTGTCATGAACAGTTAAGTTCAGCTATTAGGGCAGATTGTGACACTGCTGGGGTGGTTGGAGGGTAACATTTGACTTTATTTATTTTTACAAATGTTTCAAAACTCAGAGAAGAGGTACCTATGTAAAGTGTTCTATAACTAATATGTGGTATTATAATTGTATTATTTCCTCCAACTATATGAGTTAGAACCACTTCATTTTTCTTTTACCACCATTCTAAAAAGTAAAATGTGCAATACACTCCTCTTAATGGGCAGGACCAAAACAGTTTGCATTCCTCAAAATTTGCACAACAGTCTTTATAGATCTCCTGCAACCCACTTTACCACATACTTAAAATAAATGTGTGTGCAATTTATAGCTTCTTCTTCAAAGTCTTTGAAGACCAGGAAATTTTACTTGTTATTAAAGAAATATGCGTTGTAAAATGTGTATGTAATGAAACGTTGATGTAATTTGCAAAGCTTATATCTATGGTTTGTTCTTTTACTAAGAACCATTCAGAAAATGTTTACAAAAAGGAAGATGTGAATTAAAAATAAGAAGAACTATACAAAATGTGGACATGCTGTATCTAGTAGTGGATTGACTTTGTGCTACAAATGGGATATAGACAGACCAAGCAAAGTCAAACAGAATAATAACAAAAAAGGTATAAAAGCACTTTTTAAATAGCTAAATGAAAATGAAGGCTATAAAAAAATATAACATTTGAGAAATTATATTATAATCTAATATTTAAACTGTTCAAACTTATGTTTATTATAAAATAGATACAGTTTATGTGCCATAACAGGGATATGTATCATTTAATATTAGAAATGTAGTCTATTATGTATGATATAGATGCATAAAGTAATTTGATGACATGCTTAAAAGTTTCAGGCAATAAAAAATGTCTAAACTTCTTCTCAATACTTTTTCAAGAGTGAAGCTGATGATGTATTGCACTTTGCAGTTGTATTTTTGTTTACATATATGTGTGTGTGTGTGTTTGTATGTGAGCATTTAGATATTTATGAAGGAATGAAATAATGTATTATTTCTTGTTTTTATGCATAAATGCTAGAAATATGTATATTAATTAAAAATAATAATATATTAAATAATCTCTGCAGGGTTGGACTCCTTTTTTATGTTTTTTGTACATACTGGTATAGATTATATGATTAGTTTATAATAATTTTCTTGTGAGTAATTCAGTTGTTTAATAAATATGAGCTAACGGTTACCAAAGACTGCTATAGAGGCCGTGCAGCTGACATCAACCAACCATATAACAGCCTTGACTCCTTCTCTTTGGACAGCAAAACAAACCTCATGTGCAACATGCCCTGCACCGATTGCTGTTTTCCACCATAATACCTTGAAAACATAAAAAAAAAAACACTGTTAAATGGGGGAGTGGTGGCCTAGTGCTTAGGGCATTGTGCTTGGATCCCAGAGGTTCTGAGTTTTAATAATAATAATAACTGAACTTTATTGATCTTTATTTACCTCTGCATTTAACCCATCCCCTTGTGGAGCAGTGGGCTCCCATCATGGGGCACCTGGGGTGGAATCAGGGGTTAAGGGTCTTGACACAAGGATGTAGAGAACACAGCCTTCAACAACTTTTTCAAAGCTTCTTTGTGCTCTCCAAGAGCAACAGTCATTTCTTTTAAGGAGTTTTTCATAATCTGTTAATAGTGGTGGTATTTATGAAATGAATCACATGAATTCTCTAGATCAGCGGTCCCCAACCACCGGGCCGCAGACCGGTACCGGTCGGTCATTTGGTACCGGGCCGGACAGGAAGAAAAAAAAAAATATATATATAATTTATCGACGATCAGAGTCTGAGTGATGTTTTATTTTGAAAAATATAAAAACTCTCCCAATTACATCAGTCAGTGCATCTGTGCCTCTTGACACAGGTTAATTCAGGTCAAGACGCATCCTATTTATAACATCCCATCTTTGTGAAGCGGGATTTTCTGCGGTTATGGCAACCAAAACAAAGCTACGGAGCAGACTGGACATTAGGAGCACACTTTGTGTGTCAATGCCTCCCATTACGCCTAGATGGGACCGGCTTGTTTCGGAGAAACAAGCTCAGGGCTCCCACTAATTCAACGTAATGGTGAGTTTTATTTTTATACTGTTTGTATTTGATTTTATGCCAGTCGTATCATTTCATTTGATCCGGTCCGTGGTGCAAAAAAGGTTGGGAACCGCTGCTCTAGATGGTTACATGAACCCTTG